CAAGGCTCTGACAGCCACAGACATAACTCCCAGAGGCAGATGCATGTTGGGATTTGTAGTTTTGGCACAGCTGGAGTGCCAAGGTTCGCCACCACTGGTCTAGGGGAATCAAATAAAGTGGATATACTCACCTGATCCTCTGCTCGGAGGCAGTTAGCACTCACCTCTCTCTCCCTCTGTTCTGACTGCGGAATGTCTCTCGGCATCCTTACATCTAATGCAAGTCTTGGACCTGAATAAGATGGGGTGACGTCCTTAAACCACCAGAACCCAGGGGAAAAGAGGCTGTCGAGATCAGGCTAGCTGCCCTGCAGGACTGAGGATCAGGTGAGAATATCTGCTTTTCGATTTAGCTACCGAAATAGAAAAAATTGTCAGGCCGAAACCGATACCGAAAATGTTTTTAAATATTTTATTTATAAACTTTTATTTATTCATTTTTTATTAAATATTTTTATTTTTTACTTTACTTTTAGGGGCTTTGGGGAAATATTAGGGGTCTAAACAGACCCCTGATATTTCCCTTTTAAAATAGATAAAGAGATCGAGAACACAGAGTCCTCAATCTCTTTTTCTGTATCCCCTGTTATCAATGAACAGGAATCCTCTATACTTAGTATGTTTACTATAACTACAACAATGAATGGACAGGAGGCAATGTAGATCACTTCCTATTCATTCATAATTGAGGATATAGTAACCATACCGTGTCCTCAATTATGTACAAACACTCACTGACTGCTTGTAACCGCTCTCCTCTCTGACACGCTGTCACAGGAGGCTGAGTGAGCAGTGTGGGAGGAGAGCCCAGCCTCCTGTGACAGCGATGTCTCCGCCCCCATACCACTCTGCCGCACTGTGATAGGAGGCTGAGCGGTGTGGGAGGAGAGACACCGCTCACAGTGCTCTCCTCCCGCAGCGCTCGGCCAGCTGTCACACTTTCTCTCCTCCCCCTGGGACACAGAGCAGCGCCCAGCGGGGAGGAAAGAAATCACGGATGCGCCGATGTAATGGCAGGAAAATTGCACTTTCGGCATTTAGCCAAAGGTGCCATTTTCACTGATATGTTTCGGCGGCCAATATATCGGTGCGTCCCTAGTTTTTGTCTATCTTGATTGGCCAGGCTGGGATGATATAATTCCAATGACATAACACCCGGAGTTCATTCATCCCAGCACTGAGGTGTGTCGAGGATATACACTAAGCTGTGCATGTGCAGCTCAGTGTACATTCTAAAGAATAGTCATGAGCTGGGGCTTGGTGCGAATACAGGTTATCGTGGTGCACCCGAGCCTGCCCAAAACTGTGATGACACCCCCCACTCTGGGCCAATCAGCTGCAACAAGCACATTCTCTGAGTTCAAACCCCCGGCTCATCAATACTAAAGAAGATTGCGAGGAGTGAGGAAAAATGCAGCAGAGACAGTGGGGGGAATTTATCAAAACTGGAGTAGACAAAATCTGGATCTCATCTCTGCACTCCCCTGTGACACCGCACCTTCCCTGCATGGTAACCAATCAGCTTCTCTCGTTTTCAGATCTCAACTGAGCAAACAGAAGATAGATGCCCATTGGTTGCCATGGGCTGCTCCAGTAATGATAAATTCCCCGCCATAGTATGTCTGTTCTGATACGAAATACTTCCTGCCCACAGGTTTATAAATTTGGGGCAAAGTTCCACTGTAAGGGAGAAGTGTTCTGTCCTGCCCCAGAGCTACCAATCATATTCAAACTATAAATATATAACTCTCATCTCTCAGTAGAAGTTTAAAAAGGAGAATTATGGAGGCGAGTGATTTTCACTCATCCTCATAGTTCGAGCCGACGTGTGACCATGAAACTGACACACGTCGGCTCAATAGATCGGGAAGTGAGCAAACACATACCGTAGCTCGCTCACTTCTCGATCATTTCCCTGCAGTGAGCCATGACTGTCACTCACGGCTCCCTGCAGGGATTACCTCAACCCCTCCCCGATCCTCCAGCCCTGACTGGCGGAACGGACGGGGTAGGGGTTGGATAGAGCTGGCTCTGCTTCTAGAGGTGCAGAGCTAGCTGTCAATCACGCAGCTAGGTGGATCTCGACAGTATTGTCTGGATCCATCCAGGCTGCGGCGGGTTCAGTATAACGTGAGCTGTAGCTCACGATATACTGAGCTTTGTGTCACGGGAGGACGCTAGTTTATGTCCTCCCGTGACCCTGAGGAGAACTATGGGGAAAAAACACTGACCCCATAGTTCTCCTTTAAATACGATTGGTGGCGTAACTAATATATATATATATATATATACAGTGGGGCAAAAAAGTATTTAGTCAGCCACCAATTGTGCAAGTTCTCCCACTTAAAAAGATGAGAGAGGCCTGTAATTGGCATCATAGGTAGACCTCAACTATGAGATAGTCTGACATTTTGGTGGGTCACAGCACACCTTTCCTAAAGTGTATTTCCAATTCACAAATATACGTTTGCTGTCTTACAATTCACATAGCAGATTGCAGACTATTCTCAACAGTTTGAAAGTGAAAGTAGAGAGACATACTGAGGGATGGACTGAGATCTTCCTCTTATTAAAGAAGAACTCCAGGCAAATCAAATCTTAACCCTTGCAGTGGGGCTACCCCCACACTACAAGGGTTAACTGCTCATTTGTTCTAGGGACCTAAATGAATAGAGTTATACTCACCTGAACTGCGATCTGAGCTGGCTCCTAGACCAGTCCCTTCAGCCTTGCTCCCCCTCCACTCCAGTGATGGAATGTCCCCCGGCGTCCTCATGTCCTATACACTCTATAGGATGTGATGACTTGCAGAACCTTAGACCGCTGGAGTAGAGGGGAAACCAGTCTAGGAGCCAGCTGGTCTCATGGTTCAGGTAAGTATAGCTTTGTTATTTTAGCTCCCTAGGCAGAAATGAGCACTTACCCCTTGTAGTGCGAGGGTAGCCCCACTGGAAAGGTTAAGATTGTATTTGCCCGGTGTTCTTCTTTAACATATAACCCTTTATTAGGGTCGACGGTGTTCAAATTTAGTTTACAACTGATAATGAAATCTGCCAGCAAAGTACAGACAGGGTTAATTAGAGTAACCATTATTTCCCACAGCCCCTCCTTAAAATTGCATAGGGAGAAGCTAGGAGGGATGTTTAAGCAAGTATAAAGAACTTAAAAATTCAAGCAGAAATCTGTAATTCATTGTTTTATGCAATGTGAACATGTAATAAATATGAAGTAGGTGTTATCCAAATTTGACTGCAAAAGTGGAAATACACTTTAAGACAGTAAGAAGAGTTAAATGAACTGTCAGCTGCAATAAATGAACAATATTATACATACATATAGGGATGTTCAGATACCAAGTACCGTATACGGTACAGATACTTTTCCAGCTCCAAGACTAGACTAGAGAAAAATTCAAAAGTTAGGAGGCAGCTGTCATTTGTAAGGAGCACACGGAGCTCCTGGGATTTGTACATCTCCGTTTTAATGTATGATTTTATTTTTGATTTTATTTTTAAGCATGGTAGATTTTTATTGAAAAAAAAAGCCATATAAAAAGGAGCAATACATACATGACAGAAAATATAGATCATGCATCAGTACGCAGACTGTGATCTACACATGCAGAATGCTATTTAACCAGGTATTAATAAGTGAGGAACCAGATCACAACATTGTGATGGACTCTCTAGCTATAGGTTGTACCGATTAGTTATATAATAATAAAAAATAAAAAAACTACAAACAATTATCCCTATAGCCGTGAGGATCGATACTGTGGGGAGAAGACCAATTCTCTAATGCCTGGGTGTTCGTGAGCATATCAGGAGGACCATACCTTATTATTAGGTGTAGTGTGTGAGAACCTCGGTTAAGTGTATCATATACTATCAGGGGTCAAAGGACATCTAGCAATCCTAGGGATCCAGTAAATTGGGCTTCAAGGTACCACTTGGATAGTCGGAAAATGGACATCAAATCTCGCAATTGTTGCAGCGAAAATTCCGCTGTAATGTAAGATGTCCAAGTGTCGGAGAAGATTTTAGTACGGAGTTGGTTAAATTTCTTGCCTAATTTATCCAGCAGTAACAGGCGGTTCAACAGAGGGAGAAAGGTGTCCATGGAGGGGGTTCAGATAAGATCCAGTTACATAGGATTGCCTTCTTAGTTGTCAGGAGGCAGAGGTGTTCCCAGCGGGTCGGGTGAGATGGGGTATCACTCGTGGGCTGGGGATTATTTTTGTTTTTATAAATATATATAAAAGAGATGCACCAATACCATTTTTCCAAGTACAAGTACTGATACCTGTCCATGTACTCACAGATACAATTACTGAAACATTTTTGTTTATTGTCATGTGACAGTTTTTCTGAAACAATACAGAATAACGATTTCAGGACAGTGGTGGAGCGCCAGAGCCCAGTCACTGCTGCAACCGCTGCAACCCTGGTTGCTCTTGTATCAGCACTGGTATCTGAACATCCCTAATACACACACACACACACACACACACACACACACACAACCTACTGCTACTTATCATTGTCACTTTTCCCTGGACAGCATGGTGTCTGTAAAAGGTGGAGAAAACATCATTCTGAATAGCCACTACTATTATGACATGTACAAACCATATCCTGTTATCTCAATGAAATATTTTCATAACAGAACCCGGGGGGAAGATTAAGAAAAGACTACAATCTAAAGTGGAGAATGTTTATGGAGTAAGAGTTCAGGAAATGTCCAGGGGTGACTTCTGTGTAAGTTTGGACAGGACAGCCCTGGGTACAAACATGGACGTTCAGTGTGACACTATAGCTGGTGTGACCTATGTTTAGTATAAATAGAAAACAAGAACACATACATCCAGGGACACGCCTTCCAGATCTGTACCTAGAAAGACAAGTAACTGTCTAGAAGTGGCGTTGGCAGCAGCCTAGGAGCAATGACACACTTTGCATGGCCTCTCCCACCATCCGTCCGTATGCTAGTCATCTACTCACCATGGCAGGCCATCCCGGAGCTCGGTGTGACCGCATGAAGCCGCAGGTAGAGCCTGCAGAGTGAGGACCAGCCCCGGCTCTGTGCAGACATCCCCGCCATCTCTCCACTGATCCCTCCCGGTGGCTAAGTCGGCTCATACAGATCTCTGTGTACCTGTCATCAGTCCAGAACACTAGAGCGCGGACACACGCTACAGCTTTGTCTCCAGTGCGGCGGACATCTTCCCAGAGAGCATCCGCAGCGTTCCATGCCGTTTGTCTTCAAAAAAATGACTCCGACTATCGAAGTGTAATGAAAGAGCACAAGACACATGCGCGCCTCAGTATTACATAGCATGTTATCCTATCTATTGTGAGAGGGGAAAGTCATTGTTTTTAGACGTACTAGACACGTGACACTCCGCACAGACGATCCACCTATCAGAGGAAGATTAACTTCTCCACCAGTCGGCGATGTTTTTTTCCCCACGATCATTTCACTGAGCTTTATTGACAAGACTAGCGGAAGTCAGAATTGCCGGCTTATTATAGCACTATGCTCTGTCTGTGTTTTTATGTGTTGTTCCGGTGGCCTATTTTGTTTAGATAACAGATGTTATATAAAAATTGGCAACAGTTGCAAAATATTTAGAAGGACCATGCTGATGTGTTAAACACAGAGCTGTCCTTGTTAGACTGACATCTACAAGCTAAATTTTACACTGATGGGCCTATATATCAGTGTTTTCACCCAAGATTCACAAACTATTCAACTAAATAAAGCCGCCGCTCCAAGCTTGCTCCTGTGATGGACTACAATCTCATGTTAAGTTTACTAATTTTTATGGAAATTGTAGTCCATCACAAACAGGAGTGAGCTTGGGTCGGTGGCTACTTTACAACACATACAGGGTCCATGGGGAACAAAAGTAGCCACCCTCCAGAAGGAAGGACAGTGTCAGCACCAATTCAGAGATGATTTGAGGATCTACAGCCGAGTGATACACAAATAAGATACATTTTTGTTAATAGTTGAGGTACTTAAAGTGACATTAAACCCTCAGACCCTGTAATGTGTGCCTTACTGTAATCCATGTTAGTTTCCCTACTCTTTGCTGCTCTTCCTTTTAAATCCTTCTCTCTTCTCATGCTGGGGGAGAACTTCCCTTTGCAGCTGAGTGCCTCTTCCTGTAGTGCTGGCTCAGGTTGCAAACCTACACACAGACACCATGTATCCATTTCAGAGACAAGGCAGTCTGCTGCAAAACAGAAGTTCACCCCAAGCATGAGAAGAGATACAGATTTAAAAGGAAGAGCAGCAAAGAGAAGAGAAACGACCATGGATTACAGTAAGGCACACATTACAGTATTGTTTTATGTTAAAAAATCTGAGGGTTTAATGTCACTTTAAATGTACTACTGGTCCTGCATTGATTGTAATGACGTCATTGCAACTGCTGGATGGGACACCAAAGAGAAAAGGTTTCAGGGGACCAGTCACAAAGTGTAGTGGAAGCCGGCCGTACAGTGTTAACGGGGTTTTCTTTCATCACTTTTTTTCCGTGATGAAAACGAAATGCTAGAGCAGGTAAAACAATGACGAAAATGCGGCGAATTTTCGTTGCCGAACGAAAACAAAACGAAAGTTCTGGGAACTAAACGAAAATTTGCTTCGAGACTAGTGCATTTGGCTTTTGGTTCCCTGAGCACTTCCTGTACTAGGGAGATGTGAACAACCAATGAACCTATTAGATTTTAGTCCACTAATTTCATCAACTGAAACTAGACTAAAATAAAAATTAACTTTCGTGACAAGACTAAGGCCCCATTCACACTGAGCGTACCACAAATCGCGCGTTTGTCATTTTGCGGGATATGCGCGATATCACGCAAATGGTTGCATTGAGCTAAGTATCGAAATCCACTCCAAAAAGGGTCCTGTTGTAGCGACAGCGACAAACAGAGCCCCATTGACATGCATTGGAGAGCGACATCGTGCGGTAAATATGCGCGATATGTCGCGGATTACTGCGCAATAAAACGCTCAGTGTGAATGGGGCCTATGACGGAAATTAAATTTGGTAGCAAAATTACACTGCTGCCGTAGCAAAAAATGGGGTAAGAAGTACCGCTTATTCTTCTACCCCTGGACTTAAGGAGCATTTACCCCTTATAGTGCAGGGTGGGGAGGCACTGCGAGAGTACTTTTTTATAAACAAAGTCCTGGAGTTCAGCTTTAAAAGGTTTCCAATCTTTACACATAGACATTGCACAATACTACTTCTTTAGCTATTCATTCTAGATTATTATTATACAGAATTCATATAGCGCCAACAGTTTGTGCCACTAGATATAACTCTAATTTTGTTCTTTTTATGTAAAGGTGACAGAGTACAACTTCCCATCTTCCGCATGCTCGGTGTAGTGCTCAGTCGTTATTCTTATTATATCTTTATGGTAGCGCTTCTCTTTTTTGTATACTTGGTGCACACATTGGGCGGAGTTTATCAAAACTGGAGCAGACAAAATCTGGAGCAGCTGTGCATAACAACCAATCCCCTTCTCTCTTCAGTTTGTTCTGTTAAGATTTGAAAATGAAGGAGAGAAGCTGATTGGTTGCCATGCACAGCTGCTCGAGATTTTGTCTGCTCCAGTTTTAATAAATTCCTTTCAATATGTTTTTGCAGTAGTGCTCCTTTAAAGTGTAAGAGTGCACCACCATGTGGTTTTCCTGAGAATTGCAATGGATCGATAGGAACGTGAGCAGTACATCACAATGACAACACTGATTTATACAGTATATAACATCTCAAAGAAGGGTTTGGTTAAACATTTCATCAGCATACCATTACCATGAGTGTAAAAGTGAAAGTGAATGAATGTACATAAATATACCATACAGAAAAATGAAATGGTGATCAGTTGTGAAAGAGGGGCTCTGTGAGTCAGGCACAAATGATACAGTATGGTTCTGTTGACTTTACCATTAATATATCCTTGCTGTTAAAGAAGAACTCCGGACAGAACTTTTATTAACCCTTGCAGTAGGGCTACTTTAAAAATAATTTTAAAATTGTTCTTCTTTAAAAATGTTGGTGCCGTGGTGGGGCGGTATAACCAGCACCACTTGGTTGATAGCACAGACATGACCTCAGTTTAAAGCCATTTGCTCTATGTAGTGTGCATACAGCTGTTTCAAGCATACTAGCTTTTGTCAGTGCTTGAAACATTGCAGTCCAAAGGGTAAGGCTTTTCAGGCAATTATTTAAGTTACGGGGTTAAAGATGGTTAGGGGTAGGAATGAACCGATACCGAGTATTTGCTCCGATGGGCAAGCAGAGCTAAATGTACAGCGGGGAAGCCGTCGCTTTGGGGGGGGGTTGCAGGGAGGGGGGCGCATTGAGGAACGTGGCCTTGGGGCAGCAGAGAGAGTAATTCCGGCCCTGGTCCTGCTCATGTAGTTTACAAGTGATAATGAAATCAGCCAGCATAGTACACAAAGGATTCATTATTCAAAACAAACCTCCCCCCAGATAGTGAGAACTAAGCAGGATTTGTCAGTCCTGGAGTTAGCACAAAGCACATCTAAAAAGATAAGCTGCATTTCAAAATAAAAATGTTGATGTTATATTATGTGAATGGGGACATGTAACAAATATAAAGTAGGTGTTATGCCAATTAAGCTGCAGAAATGGAAATAAACTTTAAAGCGCTTCATGATCTAGCTGCACTGTCTGGCAGGGCTGTCTGGATTACAAGACTGGCTGAACAAAATTACAGTTACTGGACTATGATTTATCCTACTGCTGAGGTCTCCTCTGGGCTCCTTTTATTCTAACAGTTGTGTCACCCACCGGCTTCCAGTGCCCGAAATATGTTACATTGATTGACTGCAACAGGTTGATGAAATGCAGTAGAACGACCCTTACTGACCCAAGGCACATACAGTTCCACCCTCAATAGAAATGTTGCTATGTAGATGATTGGTAGCCTAACATAACAATATACAGTATATCATGCAGTTATATTCGCAGAACTAAAAATACAATTAGTTTCTGTAATGTAAAAGCTGATTTAAAAATGTATCCTTTAGATTAATGCAGAGAGTACATATAAATCACTTTCACGGAGAGCACAGCAGCTGTAAGGAAATATAGGATAGGGATAGGAGTGCGGATTATATTGTTAATTCAATGCAGAGAGTACAGCTTACTGGTTGATTAGTTCAGTCCTTTATCCAGACTTTTCTGTACTGTACCAGTCCACCCACCTTCCTATTGTCTGTAATCGGATGATGCTGGAACACCCTGCTCACTGCCTCTCACACACACAAAGCCTGATATAAAAATAGTAGTTTAAAGAACTTTCCTACAGTGATTAAGATTCAAACCTGCCCTAAAAGTTTGCATGCAATTAGTGATGCAGGTAGGAGAGAGATGAAATTACACAGCAGAGGCTTTCAAGAAAACTATATTGGTTTGGTTTGGGGGGGAGGGAGAGGGATTTATTTATTTATTTATTTTTTTAAAGCTGATACGTTTTTAATCTGTTATATATCTACAATATTTTGTACTATACATTTACATTGTGTTGCAAATAGCTATTCAGTGCAAAGTGCATTTATACCAGAGGATGCTCAGAGTACTGTGAGGTTTTTAAAGTGTTCCCTTTCAGACATGCTATCTCTTATTGAAACCTTAGATGGAGGGAGAATGCTCTGACTCATTCAATTGTGTGTTTAAATTTTACCTCTCACCTCAAGCTAATTGAGCTCTATTTGCCAGCACTATGATGTGCTGCCTAACTGGCTAGTAGGTATGTGTGGGAGGCAGGATGGGGTTGGCAACATTCAACTTTACCAGGGAGTACACGATGTGACGTATTGCACTCTCAGCCTCATCCTGAGCAGAGATTTTCCAACTCACAGGACAATAATCTAAGTACCAGCCGACTGAGAGTGGACATCCCTGCAGCAGGTTAACTCTGCAGTTAAACCTTTACACATAGAAACGGTAGCCACCACTGGATTTTAACACAAACACCCACCGTTCACAGTATCTGCTGTAGCAATTCTGATACTTACTGCCACACACAGATAGGGATGTAATGGAGTTTAAGGTATGGCAGCTTTATTCTAAGAGGCAAAAAGGCCTTTACTTTTGGGTTAGAGCATTTAGAGATTCAGGTTAAAGGGGTTCTAAAGCCTCCGTTTTTTTGCCTATATCTACTGCTAGCAAGCTGTAGATATAGACAAAAAA